CTTCCAAGAAGTACAGAGGGCACCTACAGGATGATGAACCCACAACCCAAGGATAATCAAAGCATCCTTCAAAACAAAGAATGGAAGGATTACAGTGAACTTCATCCACAGATACGTATCCACCAATGATAAACATAAATTTTATGAGGCTACAGTCCATTCTCGAGAAATGCCTAAGAAAACATATAACCATCCTGATGAGGGACCTAGACGCCAAAGTCGAAACGGATGTGGTGTCAGTCATTATGCCAAGCCCATATACCTTATTCTAGCTTCCGGACATCCCATTTTATTCATTCTACTTGAGCCATACTTTGACCTTGTTATTTATTCGCTTATCAATCTAGACTGTTTTTATATGAGCGTATATGTGTGTGCCCTTCTTATCCTATTAATCACATGTCTGTAGCTTTATTTTGTCTGACTATAAATATTGAGTAACGCTTGACTAAAATGGAGTTGGCTTCCCAGCCATCTTCCATACGTGTCAAAATTGCTTTGCTATGCTTCATTCGCTTTATGTACAAAGTATATGTACTCTCAAGTCAATTCTCGTTATTCGACTTATTTAATTCCGTTTTTGGATAACGCGATTTAAGTCGACGATGATATACGAGAATCAGCGATAGCAAACATTCATACAATCATTCGTACGCTCTAAATGGAGTCAGGTCAATGGGCATTAAACGGATAACACCGGGTACGAATGCACCATGGAGTGAGATGGACTAAGAGAAACAAGCGAGAATGGTGAGAGATTGTTTGGTCCGTTCTAGGCGATAACATATACAGAATTTCATCATACCACACTATAGAGAACTAAATGGATCACATCTGTAAAAAAATCAGAAGGCAGATGGAAGATATAAGGACAAACAGAGGAGCTGATATACCTTCAAATCACCATCTGGTTACGGTCAAGATGCACAAGAAAATTGGATAAGAAGCACTAAAAAGTTTGATACAGTTTTCATTTGAGATGATAAAAAACTAAGTGGATTCAAGCTGGATCTCAGTAATAAGTTCCAAGCCTTACAAAATCTATTAAAATTTAAAACAACCGTTATGGAGAACAACTGCAAAAGGATTACAGAAAAGACAAATTCAGTATATCAGAAGATTCTGATCAGCATTAAGAATGTATCTCTATAGATATCCTGGGGAAGATTCAAGAAAAGACAGAATTCATCATTAACAGCTAAATAAGAGCACACAAAGCCAATACCAGGCCAAATATACAGAAGAGAATAGACGACTGAGGAAGAGTATTGCAGCTGTTGAGTGGAAATATGCAGAGAATCTAGCAATAAGAGCAGAAGAAGATGCATGAGAAGGATATATTAGGCAGCTATTTGATACAACTAAGAAGCTTGCAACAAAACTTGGTAAATCACAACGACTAGTTAAGAACAAAGGAGGCAAACTAATCACTGAAGTTCGAGAAAGGCGGAATAGATGGGTAGAACACCTTGAAGGGCTCTAGAATATAGCAGCCCCACTGAACCTATCGGATGTAGAATCAACACACACAGACTTTCCTATACATGTTACCTCACTAACAATACAAAAATTAGGAAGGTTATCGGACAAGTCAAGAGTAGCAAAACAGCAAAAACAGACAGCTGAAGTACTGTAATCAGATATAGAACCAAAAGCAAAATTGTTCCATGTTCATTTCATAAAGATTTAGGACAACAAGTACTAACCGACTAAGAAGAGGGACACCCCAAAAAGATACCATAATTTGCGTGAAAACTACAGTCATTAAACTGCTGTCAACCCAAGACAATGTTTTCAGGAGAGTGTAGCTGAACTAAATGAAAGATTCAGTAGACACAGAACTTGAAGGTTGAAAGGCTGAATTTCGTAAGGATCGACTAAATCGCAACAATTTGGACTATTGTTGAACAATTAATCGAATAAACTCGCCACCATACATCAGCTTTCTTGATCAGGAAACGCTCGACAGCATGAATAGAACGGTGTGGTATCTTCGGCATTATGGAGTACCTGAGGAGCTTGTCACTATCATGAAGATCTCCTATAAAGGATTGAACCGTAAGTTTTCCATAAAAGCAAACTCACAGAGTAGCTTAAGCAGATATAAATATTTTAAACTGTTTGAGCCATAAAATAGTAGTTCATTTACACCTAATTTTGATTCATTCTGTTAAAATTGTGTATAGTTATTTTTACTAGATAAACCTTTACAACCATAGATCATATATTATATAGGTCTATGTTCAGTAAAACTTGAAGAAGCAAATCTATAGTTATCCATTGGTATTACATAATCCAATCTATTGCAAATTACTGTAATGAACGAAAACTCAGATACGGAAAGCCAAATAATAGTTTTGTGGGAAATCAAGAAGTAGATTTGTAAAGTATACAAATAATATATTAAATATATCATTCGCATGTCTTCCTCCATTTGTTCTTTACATACTTTATCATTCTTTCGATCCTATTGTCATTCCGATTGCTCTTCATTTCTTCCCCTTTTTTTCTTTATTTCACTCTTCTACTAGTCAGTATTCTACTTCCAACCCCAGCCACATACTACTTATGTCTGTCCGCATCAGTAGTGCACACCACATTACTATCACGTTCATTGTTTGTAATGTTTAACATCCAATAAAAAATATCCCTAATTTAGGTTGTTTGGAAAATTTATTATTCTCGATTGAATTAATCGTCAAGTAGATCTTTTCGTATGATTTAGATTTAATTCTAATGGATATTTTTTCTCAACATGAAAATGATATCTAATTTTGAGTCATAACTGAAAATTCTTGAATTCATCTCCCAGCGAAATACTCAGTCACAACCGTAGGTGAATGTAGTTTTAAGTTCGTCTTATAAACTATAGTTATATACTAAGCATCTTTATCATACTTGTAATGAGCCTTTTTTTATCAATTTCTTTTAATTAATGATATACGCAGTGGGCTACCCGTTATTTTACGTGATAGTTTGTAATGCAACTAAAATTACAGAAAAGATATAATATACAACGTTGGAAAAAATATAGCCAATCATACTCTGTTATCTTTGGCGTCATCCAATGACTAGAATTGTAGCTCTTCAATGAACCTTTACGAGAAATGGTATTAAGTCGAGTGTATTCTTATTAAAACTAAAAGTGATAATCATTATATCCATAATTCATGTTTTTGCAATATTTCGAAAACACGACTACATTCTTGCTGTGCTGCGTACATGCATACAAAATTTTCCAGTCATAAATGGTTTCTGTTATTTATGTTCAATATCGATTTTATAAATACCAAAGAACCGTTTTTTGATTAACTGATTCTCATAATCCATTCAAATGTAATTATTGGTTAATTTATATAACTACTTATTACAATATCTATTGGCTAAAACCAATAGCTTAGTAGTATAAGAAATAATGCATTTACAAATCATTTTATTTTGATAATAATATTCGACCATATATAATAGTTTATGTTGGCACAGAGGAATAGTCTGTATCCACTTGAATGATCTATATTCATTTAAGCATAGTTTTTATATAGAAATAAAGCTCAATAAAATAATACTTATTAAATGTAACATGAAATTGATTATTTTCACATTTATTGTAGGATCACATCTAACAAAGTGTGTTTAGAAATACTGAATTTTGTATATTAATGACGTAAACTGGATAAGATTTTGATTGTTCAAAGTTCAATCCCTCTTTCCAACCTTATTTCTCTGATTAAAAGGTAAATAATTGTATAATTCATTTATCGACTGTAGAAATATCGTTTAAATCCTACATAAAATTGATAAGATAAAAAGATAAAATTCCATTCTTAACTTATTGTAATTCTTTTTAATAGTTGAGATCATGAATCAATTGAATCTAAACCACCATGGAAAATCTGGAAGCACTGGACGGCCGTTTCGTCCTAGTATGGAACTCTTTAGAAGTGCACATCCACGACCTCGCCTTGCGAGATTCGAACCCAGGACCTATGGTTATCGCGCGCGAACGCTTAATCACTATTGTCTTCAGTGAGTTACTATCTCACAACAAACTTCGTTGAACGCCACTGGTCACTGCTTCCCACTAGAACTCATGATCTCAACTATTAGTTATTATAATTCTTGTTCAATATTACTTTCGTTTTTAATTCAATATGATAATTATTCACTGTAATGTTTAGTTTACGCTTTATTCAAGATAATGATATTCTTTGTGTTGAATCAATGTGAACTATATTCAGCTTGATAAGCAATATGTGATAATTCAGGGTATTTTTCATATATGTGACTAGACAATAATCAAATAAGTGTATAAATCTAAACATAAATGAATGTATTTTCTACTACAGTTATCGTTGTGTTCTTTGGAGTGAATGAATCTCAATTTGTACCAGTCTTAATGCTCTTACTTCACACATCTTGGGAATTGTGGTGGTTCCTTGTTACAAGAATAAGTAATAAGCGACGTGAATAAAACAAAATCTTCACCAACAATGATCATCTTATATCTATAAATGTTATATATCAATCACTAACGAAAATAGGTATGAGTAACCAATGTTGTCAAATTTTCTATTATCTGACTGTTTAATAATATCGCTAACAATATTCTGTAAAAAGTAGAGGAATTAATACATACGATTAATTCTAGTCTAAATATCTATATTTAAACATGTTGGATGAAAATGTCATGATATTTCATACTACTCAAATTCCATCATTTCGACTGAATCATAATGCTTTATTGTATTAAGAAAAATAAATCAGATTTTTAGTTCTGAATAAAATTATGATAATCATTAGAGTTCCTGAAATGAATAATGCAACTAATCGAAAGTGGAATGAAATAGGATTTAGTTTCACAAAGAATCTTTGTGCATTTCTATCTTATAGACGCTATTCACTCTTAACGCAAAGCAAAACTTACTGAAAGCATAACTTATCAACCGAAAACTTAACAATAAAGTATCACTTGAAATATGGGGTATTAGAAAGAAATATCTATAGGATAAGCCTGTATTTGAAAAAAAAACACAATACAGTGCAATAAAGGTGGATGTGCGTAAGTGAAATGCTTAGATACAATGGACAAATGAAGATATTCATTCCCAATTGAGACAAACGGTTTAAAATCACTACAACATTCCATAGTACACAACGTTTGTTTACAAAATTTAGTGAATTGTCAACACTAAGCATCAAAAAATTGTAAGGTGTGTGTGGAAATTTTCGTTTAGTTCTGCGTGGTAAAATTTCACTTTCTTGAAAAAAAATATTAACAATTAGTAGTTTATTTAAGACAAAGAAACTGTCAGATAAAATAGACTACAATTACAACTCTTTAATATCATAGTTGGCATACAAAAAACGTATCAAGGACAGGCATTCAATATTAATAGCTGGTAAATCATTCACTCGCGCACAAAAAAGCATTGTTGGAATAAAGTCATGGGTACGGCGAAGTGTATGAATAACTTTTTATCAATACAAAAGCATGTAGTGTTTTAGGGAAGTGAAATTACGAAACAGTGAATATAGTAATAATAATATAATAACAATAATGATAGTGTGATAATAATAACAATAATAATAACATAAAAATACAGAACCTCAGTCCACAAAATTAAGACTATAAAGATTCACAAATACAAATGAGAAGACAAAAGGCATTAGGAAAAATAGGAGATTAGTACCTTTTTTACCATTCATCATTTTAGACGTGGCTAGTTATTATTAATAACACTGATAACACGGAAAAAGAAAACAAAACACAAGTGCATAAGAGAGTATCGGTTACGCCAAACAACTCTTCTCAAAGAGAAGTGGCAATAAAAAGAAGTGGAGTTGGAGAGGGGATAGGAAGAAAGAGCAACACACAAGTTTACATTGGTTTGACAGGGAACTGTCGATTAGTTAAGTAAATTTGATTCGGATACATTCTTTGACCCTGGTGGAGTTACTGTTAAAAAAAACAGAGATAATAATATTAGGCATTCTACAAGCAGAAATTCAGTTTGATAAATATGAAGACGAACAATAATTTAAATTATTTGTTTAGAAAAGAAACATTATCAAAAGTTAAGCACTGTAGAAACAAATAGAAATAATATCCTAAATACCATTAATGGTTAAGATTCAAAATTATTATACGTATCTAGAAACGCTGTACTAATCGGAAATTTTGGTTCTTTATTTGACTAAAAGATAACGATAAGATCAAGGCTGGCTACTGTCCCAGTATAACAGTGAAATATAAGGACTACACCATAGATCTTAATTGCTTCTGATTGTGATAAGTTGTAAGTATATCATTGGGTGACCAATATCTGTGTAAAGCATACCGTTATTTGGCAAGGTAAAAGGTTAGATAGGTGTTTGTACAGTTAACTAAACACTTTCTGACCACCCAAAAGTTCTATTACTAGAATTCTGATTATGCTTCGAATCAAGCTAATATGCACTCAAGTATGACCATTTACAGAAAAAAGTCAACTAATTGTTGAATAATCTAATCAACAGTAACCCAGAGAGTAATTTTAGGGAAGAATACCAATCTTGAGTGAAGATATATAGCTTTTGAATAGATAATTGCTAGTCAATATATTTTAATTGGTACCAATATTTCAGGATGTGTATCTAGTACGAATGCTTTATGTATTGAATTCAGAGATAAATGGAGGAAACTTGGACGAAGAAAAGAGGCCACATGCTGAATCTCAATTATCAGACAAACGGGGTGTGAAGACACGGATAGTAGTTAACAATGTTATCAATAATACGGTAACGGTCCAGTTCTACGAAAAACAACACGAACATTTGGCTTGTGAAGTCAACTTTGGTATTTAATAAAATGTGCTACGTTTCCATGCCAATGCTCTGTTGAATTTTATAATTTGTTCAAAGGTCCAAGGAAAATACGAAGGACAATTGACATAGAAAGCATAAAATCATTTGTCATTGAATACATCAGACCGAATAAAGCCCTAAGCTAGGCTAGAAACTCAAATAAAGCGGAAATAATCAAGTATCATATTGTTTGAATGACATCAAATTATGACCATTCAAATGACTAATAAAGGCTGTAATAATCTATTTTCAACAATAAACTAATATTTTAATGGCAAAGGAAAACAGGTAGAGTTTAGACAGCCACAAGTTTATACCGAAAAAACTTAGAATAAAGGTATATTCCGAGACTGCTTCATATTCTTAAAAATTTAAAGCATCAAACATATATTTTCTGAATAAATCAATTAAAAATAACACACCTGAATTAGCTCCGATTCAAATTTCGATATGATTGTTGTTCTGTCATCAGTAGAAATTCCATTACTAGTTAAAATTAAATTCTGATTAATTAAACTAGGATCAGTTGTTAATGCTGATTTTTTTGGCCTGGATGAAACAGCAGTGGAGGCGGATGAAAAAGAACAATCGGACTTAGTAATAAACGGACTAGTGCCCATAACAGATGCCGTACTCTTTCCATTAGTTAGACATTTTTCACTTGTGATATTTTCTGTCAACATTGACGAGTTTTTACTCTTATTTACTTTATCGTCAGTTTCATGTAATTTTTTTGAAGATGGTGCATTTATAGAGACAGGTGAATGAGGACGTTTACGATCGTAGGCAGGACCATTTGCAACTGATAACTTTAAAGTTGATGATAGATCTAATGGCTGAAACACAATACCTTTACGTGAAGCCATTGAATCAATCACATCATTTAAGCGTCGTGCTCTCCGTGGTCGAGTCAATAAAATTGATGGATCGTGTATACGTGCTATTATCGGCTGGGCTAAAGTTAGAAAAATGTATAAAAAGTGAAAACTTAGTGATGATTCACATGTTGTAAGGTAACAATGAAAGATTAATCTTCTAAAAAGTATATTCCGGACGTCATGTGTTAGAGAACAATCAGTAAAGTGAGAACTATCCAGTAGATGATATGCTATATAAAGACTTAGTAGCCACATCAATAAGATTTTAATCTTTCTAGCGAAGATAATTTTACTGTGATTGATTTGTAACAAAAGGATTAAAAATACTTTGTTAAGTACAACGTGGGAGGTAATTAAAATACATAAGCACTATTTAACTACTAATAAGTAGGTAAACAAGACAAATAAAAAATAAGGATTACAAAAAAGTGATGATCCTAAGCAATTTCTTTCTTCAACTTTTATTATAAAAATAGAAGTTAGGACGATCTACGTGATAAACAAAAGAAGTCCTTGCCGACTAATTTTTTTCAAAACAATGAATTCAGGAAAAATGTGATAAATAAAAATAAGCACAAAGTATTGTGACTAAGCAGAAATTTCAACAGTAAACCGCATGGGAACCTAACATATATTATGTAACTAATTGATTTACAAATATCATACTGGTAATAGGAAGATAAGTGCCGGGCGATGAATAGATTTCAGCGATATTTTAGATTATGAGCAGACACGTTTGAAAAAATATGACCAGGAAAAGTTTTCAACAGTGTTGAAGTACCGGATGAAAGATTAAGAAGACACTCAACTTCGAGATTAAAAGACCGGATTCCGTAAGGATAGGTCATATACGGGCCAAATTGTGACCCTGTGGATCATTGCTGAATAATAAAATAAATGGAATTCGCCACTAGAAATCAACTAAGGTGTATGGAGGACAGCTGTCATATACATTACAAGTGAGGACCGGAGTCAGACAAGGCTGCTTTCGCTCGTCCTTTCTTTTTCTTCTGGTGGTTGACTGAATTATGAAGACCTGCACATCTGGCGGGATTTACGGAATACGATTGACAGCATGCATGCAACTAGACGATTTGAACTTGTCAGATGATCTAGTTCTTCTACCACATACACACCAAGAGATGTAGGTCAAGACAACCAGTGTGGCAGCAGCCTCGATATACACAAGGTGAAAAGCAAGATCCTCAAGTACAACACGAAGAACACCAAACCAATCACATTTGATCGAGAAACTCTGGAAGGCGGTGGGAACTTTCACGTCTATAAACAAGAAGGATCTGATGCAGATGTAAAGGCAAGGATTCGCAAAGGCAGCTATCCTACATTTAAAGAATATGTGGAACTTAGAACAACTATCAACCGACAGCAAAGTCAGAATCTTCAATACGAACGTCCAGACATTCCTACTGAACGGAGCTGAAACTTAATGAACTATTACAAACATTATCAAAAAGGTGCAGATATTTATAAACAATTATCTACACAAGGTACTCTATGTTCGTTGGCCGGATAACATAGCAACAACCTGCTGGGAGAAAGGAAAAACCAGCTTCCAGATGAAATTAGGAAAAGACGTTGGAGTTGGTTACGACGATCGTTGCGAAAACCATTAAACTGCATTGTGAGGCATACCCTGACTTGCTTGGAATCGTGGAGTCAAAAGGAAAAGAAGACGAAAGAACACTTTGAATGGGGTATTGGATGAATGAATAGCTCTTTGAAAAAACTGGAAGAGCCCAGGACAGAGTTGGGTGGGGAATCCTGGTGGGTGGACTATACTCCTCCACGATGAGTAACAGGAATAAGTAAGATCTTGAGTTGATTAACATGGACACATACAAACAGATGCTGAAGTCTTATCAAAGTATGCCGCTATGAGTACAAATATTTAGTACAAATGACAGTAAAGTACAGAGACTGAAAAAAAACTATCATTTGATTATTAGTAATATTACGATTATCATCACAATTACTGACCAGCAGCCTTCAGTGTTGCATACATCAACATCATATTAGATTCAGACAAATTATCCATCCCTGTTAGATCAGATTCATTGCGTTCGCTTTCATGTTGGACTTGTTGCTTAGATGAGAAAATTTCTGGTACTCCACCAGGATGTCGAGCTAAACGTAGAGGTTGAACAAGATTTGGACAAAGTATGCGTGCTAGACGTATAATGGACGGAGTTCTAAAGCATTGCGTTCCTCTTGGGGTACCGATTAAAGTACCGAAGAATCCAGATCCATCAATTAATTTACTATTAGCAGCGGAAAGATTGGCATTATTAGTCATGTTTGTAGCAGACGTATTATTATTATGATGATGGTCATTTGTATATGGATCAATGTCACCACCATCTAAAGCCTGAAATAGTAGCAAAAGTGTAGAAAAAACAACTCATAAGAAATGAAGAAGTGAAGCAATAATTTAAAACTATGACAGTTAAGTGAAGATTAGTGAAAATAAGTGCCTGAGTTTTGATGAATATTTATGTACACAAGTACTTTCGCGACATGAGACTTGGTACTTATGGAAGTTCAAACTGATAATTCTGCTGACGACACTGGAGAAAATTATAGATATATAAACAGACAGACAAGCACACAAACACGGACACATACATATAGATACACATACATATAAATTCAGTGTGACTGACAGGTATGATAACACTACTGGCCACATAAGAATTGAATGTACATGAATAACTATGTATATATGTGTTAAAGAGAAAGAGGGGGTTTCATATTAATCACTCATGTGATGATGACTGTGATAACAAATTGTTAAAAGCGATAGGGGTACGAAAAAAAGAGATAAGTTAAAGAGCTTAAATAGGTATCATACATTAATTAAGTAGTTTAGTTCAGTAGGTGGATAGATTGTAGCTGCAAATTCTGTTTACCTCTGTTTCGATTCTCATAAATAAACGAGTTTACATATAAAGTTGTTTGAGTGCATAAGTGAAGTATCGTGAAGTGAAATAAAACAACTGATTTTCTCTACGATTACGACAGATTCATTGTCTTGTTTCCTCCGTAATACAATAAAATACAGATGACTTTTTCAAACGTATGTATAGTAGACGATTTTCGTTCAAATGAGAATAATTTGTTTACTTTTAACTAGAAATCTTTATTAACCATCTGAATATTTTTGCTATGAAAATATAAGTAATAGATGACATGGCTCAGAATCAATCACAATGGCGTCGGTGTATACACGCTTTGTCTTCCCTTAAACTGTGAGATTAAAATTACTTTATACGTTTATTTCTATGAACTATTTAATCCTTCCATATACACAATCTTTCTTTTATATATTGCTAACATTGAAGTAAATGCTTCTATGAATTAGGTGTTCATCTTGTTGTGCTAATGAGGTGTGGCAACTTGGACCGATACATATATGTGCCTGGTCCTACGTTGTAGCTGACTATATATATCGAAAAGAGAAACAATGAAAACACAAATCAATGGTGACTAACAACACAAATGCTTTGAATGAATATAACACCATTTGATAAGAATCTAACTTCAGACATACAATTCACAAAGCAAACTACATTTTAATAGTATTAGTTTAACATGGAGGGTTTTGTTCAGTGCTTTTCAAGACTGATGGTTTATGATAGTTGAATAAAGTCACTATTGTTATATTATCCCAAAATATGCAAAGTTTACAGCTCAATAAATGTAGCTATTAAAAGCAAATAGTCTCATTATAAATCTCAATAGAACAATGAGAAGACGACTTTGATCTAAAAAATGTGACGTATTTGCGCTATACATTTCGAACAATCTGGTCACACATATACTTGTCAAGACAATTTGTATGGAAATTAATACAGGGCAATTAGATAAAGGTTCAAGTAAACAAATTAATAATTATCAGTAAAGGGTTGTGGAGATTGTTGAGCTTAGACTGATATCATGAATGGATCAATGTTAAAGAAGTCCCATACTAGGACGAAACGGCCATCCAGTGCATCCAGATTTTCAATGGTGGTCTAACATTGATCCATTTATTAAATTAGTAATTGTAAATAAATGGTAAAGGAAAATTACTATATTACTAAAAAATTGCTATATTTACGTAGTTATTTAGTTATAACTCATCAGAATATTTATTATAATTTTCTCAGTAGTACAATTACAAACTATTATTGAATAAAATTAATTGATTACAAAGTATGTCAGGATAATTTTTTGAATGTTTAACAAAAAGTCTATATCACTCACTCCACTTGATAAGCCAATAGAATGAGATTTGAATTGATGATTCACTGATCCGGTAATGTTAATAGGACCACCAGATTTTGAATTAGTTTCAACTGTTGAATTGTTTAACTGTTGCTGAGTGCGTAAGGTTGTGGTAGGACGCTCTAAAAATAAAATAATGTCAGAGAAAAGTTAGGAAATCATATTTACAATTATTATTAGACGATTTGTTTGAGAATGTTAGAAGTGGTCAAATCAAAACATTACATCAATCCATGAAGCGATTGACTCTTAGACTGAGATATGTTGGTAGGTGTAAACTACCTTATTGAAGTCCTTGTGACTATCGCAACCGATGGTTAGAGGTTTTGGGTGACATGGTTCGGGATAGTTCACAATAGCCCTCTTAGTGCATTCAGCTTTTGTTTTCCCTTAGATCCTAAGTTGCTAAAGTACCATTTTATTTTTATTTCACGAATCCATATTTTCTTCTTCAATCATATCTTCTACGTCTAATATTTCATATTACCGCTAATACTGTTACTACATTTACTACTCTGAGATATCCTTTGATAATTTTATTTATCTGCGCTAATGTAGTTTGTCAGCTTGGATCGATGCATATACGTACCAGGTTCTCTGTTGTGCATGACTTAATTTCTCTACAATATAATACAGTAAAGAACTCTATATTGGATGTCAGAAAACAAAGCGAAAGTCATCCAAAAATATACAGTTCACACTATAGGTCACAATTTGTTTCATTAAAATAAACAACTTGGATGATATCATCAAAAGGATGGTAAACTTTTTAGGAAAAAAAAGATCTAAGTAAAAAAGAACTTTTCCAGGAAATATTGATACATCAACCTTGAAACACAAAAATTATCGTAGTCAAACGGATCAAGTCATATCAGTATCTACAAGACACATGTAGCCTCAAAACAGCTATAAAGAGCGCCGATTTAACGAATGATAAAAAGTAGATTTTGAAAAGAAACAAGAAATGTGTTTGTGTTATAATTGGATAGGATGTGAGTGCTGAAAGTGTATAATTCAGATGAATATCTTAGTGTAATTTCAAATACTTTACAATATTTCAAAACCAAAAACAACAACGGATACTATGGCATTGTTAAAACACGACAAGAATCATTTCCGGAATATCGATCGTATTATATATATACATGTCGCCAAGACAATTCTGTCTTTATTTTCTGTGATACGATTACGATAGTAATGCTTCATAGACATGGTTCATATTTTATCCAATTAAGCTTTTGATATGCACTTAGTATGTTAAATGATTTTAGTAACCTAGTGAATTCGGTACATTATTATTTCTGAGTATCAGTAGAACAACTGCAAAAAATCATAATCATTTGATATTACAGTGACATTGACCGGTTTCTATGTCTAATACTGAATTAAATATTAAACATTTGTTCTTTTTAACATATTTAGTAAAACAAAAGTGCAAAGCAGTATCCATGTTTCCATCTACTTGAGAAAAGTGAGTTAGATATGGATATTTACATTTCATTAAACAAAGATTCAATATTTGGACCTAGTACTTAAATCCCGAATTCCAGTACTTAAATCATTTTCTCAGTAGATCGAGTATAAACGGATACGATTCGAAGGTATCAGTGATTGAATACTCACGATTTTAAACTTTCCTCTGGTACTGATAATCGTCACACACTTGTATAGTAAACTAGGGTGGATAATTGCTTCTACTTGTATCGTACCGATCGACTACATAAGTGAAATAAATATTGCAACATTATAGTGAGTAGTGATATTTATGTACAAAAAGACTGCTATTTGATGACAGTCTATGATCAATTCAGTTCAACTGATTAATAAAGAATAAATTACCAAATCGTATTAAAGGAATTTATCATCATTGACATTTTGATAGGTAACAAACATTAAAACACTATAAACAGATGCTATACAGAGAAAGACAGGGAGAGAAAGGAATAAAAACAGGCAATAACTAATTAAATAATGACGAGTTATTAGAACAAACAAAATATAATGAATACAGGATATTAGTAATGAAAATTCATTCGTAAGAAGTGCGAAACACTAAGAAAAAAGTTACGGTGATTGAATACGAGTGAGATATGGAACATATATATATATATATATATTACATATTGTTTTGACAAAAATCAATATATATATATGCATATGCATACAAACTTATTGATTATAAAAATCTGACACAAATATGGCCGCAAATGTCAAACAGATTTTGCTATCATTGTATTTATCGATTAGCTATGCAAACATAAAATACTACAAGAATGAAGTTCAATACAGATTTCAAGTGGCTAATTTCAGTGAGACTCCGACTGCATAAGATATATGTATAAGTTGTTGAAGGATCGCAATAATAATAATAATGACCAGTACCCAACAGCAAAAATAGACATATGATAGTTTTATACTTGACAAGAAAATGTTCTAGACGATCAAGGTGCCAACTATCATATGAATAAGAATTATTTTGAACTACTTGAATAAGGACCAACAGAACATCAAATGTCCTGATACCTTTGAGGTTGAGGAGGGTCCAAGGAAGTACTACTCAGAGCCTTCTCGCTGTGGCGTTATATACCAAATTGGGAGGACGAAAAGCGAATGTCCAGCGCCTTAACCGGGTTAGTGGGTACGGAAGATCCATCAAGGGGAGTTGAAAAATTCCGATTCCAAACTAATGGTGCACATTGGCTACAGGATCCTGAGGGAACAAATGATGTATGAACCCATTGTTGGTTATCGACTACCATAGGACTGCATCTCGTAAGGTTGCTCCACTGCCTTGTGGATTAGACCTCTAGATCAAAGGCTCGGAGAGTGGCTTCCTAGGAGAACCACCTGCTTCGGTTCGGGCACCCGAACGGTGTTCCAGACCAGCTCACACATATCGAATGACGAAGTATGGTGAGAATATATTTGGTGTCTGCTTGTGCCAATGTTTATGTGTTTAAATAAATTAATTGATAAACAATTATTATCGTTTATTATTATTATTTATCAGTACTAAGCATTTTACAACTGAATAGCTATTCAAGACTTTAAGCGGTTAGTAAACCACACAAACAACTTGAGGCATGAGTATAAACTGTGATAATGAAAGAGGAAATCGATTCAGTTTATTCAGTTATAAACAATGTAGAATCTAGGGCATAAATATAAATCAATCCGAGTTGCCACATAAATTCTGCACAAATAAATGAAATTACCAGCACAAATGGCAAGACAGTAGATGTAATAACAGTATTTAGTTGTTGTAGAAAATATTAAGGGTAGAAAATATGATTCGAAAATAAGGGAAAAATTTGTGGAATACAGAGAAATCATAAGATAGTTCCGAAACTAAAGCTTTAAAAGAAATTGACAAGATGAAAGGTAAACGTGTGTAAATTAATCAGATATCCGGTGGTAGTGGATAAAGTGTATCAATTAAGTATACAGTTGAAATGGAATGAATGATGTCTAGCAATATAAATAACAAAACCACTAGTAATAGAAGTAATATTAATAAAAACAATTGTGAGAGAGAACAGTCGAAAAGACAAAAGAAAAATAACAAAATTCTCAATTTTGAGAAAACCTAATGGAATTTTCGCTTCATCTTGATAATACACATTCACTTGTAATAAGCTTCGTTTCCCTAGGTATGCTAACTTCTATGATAAATTTGATTTTAAAGTATTCCAGATTGAAAGCGGCTGATGAGAATCTTATGAAATGGAGTGAATTTATACGTAGACTATTCAGATTTTTATTTCTGCTCTCTTCAAGATCATAGATGGAATGATATTTATATAAAAAATACATGATAGTTGACTCATTTTAGTTTTACTCCATAAAGAAGAGAAGTAAATAATTTAGGAAAAAAAAATCACAACAAGGAAAGTAAATAATAGTCAATAAACAGTTGAAAATTAGAAGCTACTTGGCGATTTCGGCTTAGTTTAATAGTAACAAAAAGTATAAACCATTTACAACATACACTTTGAAGTTCTTTGGAACGGATCAATATCCCTTCTCTAATCGCTTAAGATGAATCCAAGATGCCAGACCTACCTATCCGTCAAATAATAAGTGCACCTGATTGATTAGCCAAGAAATGACTCGGATTTTTACGGAATGAGACATACACAATCAGTGGCTTAATTTTCTAACGGACATATGTATGAATACATATATACACATTTCCGACTGGTTTAGTCAAGAAACTTGCTTCTCCCTTTCAACCTTTTCCTTCGTCCAGCCGATCGGGCTCATATATAAGTAGATTCTATATTAATATCAAAATTGGACACCGTACATCACAGGGCAAAAACGATTACAAATCCACGAACCATTAATTTTTTGACTTTGGATAAAGAGAAATGAAACAACATCCCAATGACTTTTTACACTTAGTTGTTATGTAGCCGATGATATGTGTTCGTAATGATAGTAGTGGCAACTTATAAGGTAAATCGTCTTATTTTTAAGAGAAAAATACAACATACATGAAGTTAAGACAATATTACATCAATATATGTATCCTTTCGATAAACACTAAATATCTGCTTCAAATAAGACAACACGTATAACGAATAAATGGATAGTCAAATGAAGTTAATATTGTATCATGTGATGGTGCTGATGATAATTCTCCTTTGTCACGTTCTTTAAAAAATAATAAGATAAACAAATAAATCAATATCTATGATAACCCGCAACATGATTATATAACGTATTATATATATATATATATATATATATATATATATATATATATATATATATATATATATATATATATATATATATATATAAAATTAAATAAATTACCTTTAGATTCGATACTTTTCAAACCACCATAACGTTTCCAATAAGACCAACAATCGGTACATAGACGAGAGTTAGCATTCGATGGACCCCATGCATACCATTGAGGGGAATTTAATGCTTTAGTTAATAAATGAAAACAAATGCTCTCATAAGACAACTATGGATATAAACAAACATATGAAGTAGTTAGCTACTTTACGAATATGAAATTCTCGATAAAATGATGAATTTATTCTTAAAATGAAGAGATTTTCATAAAGCGATTTGAAAATATATGAAAACTTAATGTTAAGTAATTTTTTGGTGCAGTATAAAAACACCGCTTCAATTTCTCAGCGAATAAAAGTGGAAATATATCTAAAAGATGGGATCGTGATTAGACAATTGTTAGTTAGTTTATCTATCTATATACAAATAATCAAATCATGTCAATCAATTTACAACCCAGTGAGATTATATTCACTCGCTTGCAGAAGAAAACGATGGACATCGGAACTCTATAAAAATCTTAAGCAAAATGCAATAGTTAACAAGTTGAACCACATGTCTAAGTAGACAATATCCAAGAAATGTGAACCTCAAAAGTCAAGAAAACCAAAACAATTAATACAATGAGAAAAAATCTAAGAAAGATGTGTAGGCTTTTGCTTTGCACATACAACTTGAGGAAGTTACTGGAAAGAACAAACTTTATCACTGTGTAAAAATAGAACCAATTGGCATACTCAGCATCTGAAGCGAAAAGATATGCTCCCCATTTATCTTAAGGTAAGTATGTAGAACAATGGCGTGGTTGGTTATTTAAATCTGTTAGAAATTGGTAGTCTATGCAATCACAGAATCAGTTAAAACCAAACAAACTAATGGGATCAAAATGTCAGTATCGTATGAAGTACCCAGCATTTGAAATAGAAGACATCATCTAAAAATTTAGAAATGGTATACATGTTTTAATATTGAACATAAGTGACTGAGGTGAATTTAGATTTAGAACTCAATCGATTGAAACTTCCTAATACAGTAGTTACACACTGAGTGAGATTTGTGTATTTTGTGTATACATAACGGATACATAACCCACATGTTTATGGTAATAAGACAGAAATCACCTAATATGAAGACACCAAGGAAGTAAGAAAATATAATACGGATACTATTTTAAATTACGTCACACATGTGAAAAATAAAAAGAAGCACTAAAAGCAGGAAATATATGTCACAGTATGAACCTAGAATACCAAATTAGAAAAGTATTTATCTAGTAGTGAAATTTGTTTGCACAAGATGATCATCTAATTATAAGAAGTTCGGTAAAGAAACTGATGGTTACTGAAACCAGAATTTTAAAGGTTTCTTCTAAAACTGACAAACATATAACAAGAAAAAATACGTATATGCAATAAAGTGAAGTTTATAGTAAATAAGAACAATAACAGAGACAGTAGATAACTTCAACAAATAACCTATCAAACTCACTGGAATCTCATAACTCAGTATGATGGAAATATGAAGGACAAAGAACTAACGATATGACGAAGACTTAGATCATTAAACAAATGTAGCGCAGACAACCTTTAGTAAGTACATTTCATGGAATATAATTAGTCCTGACAACTAAACGATTATCGATTTAGTTTAATTCTTTTTTCATAGATATTTTCCCTATTTTTATGTGTATATCTCAAGAAAATGAATCACTTTAAAACTCTAATCGTATAATACTAGAAATACAACATCAAATTAAATTAATTGATAAATTTATTCTACTAAGAGATATGAATGAAATAAAAGTAGATTTATACGAATATTCATCAATATTAGAACGAATAGTTTGACAGAAATTGGGTGCCGAGTATAGAGAAGCCGTTATATGTGAAAATTATACTTGAAATAATTTCAGCGATTGAAATTTAAATAATTTCAACGTTTCATCCAACAAATTTGTCTAGACTTCTTCAGGATAATAATCAAATTCAAAATTATCAAGGAAATAGCGAGTGTTTTACTTTTTTTGAGGAAAAGGAAGAAAAAAATAGCGAATTAACTTACATCCACATCCTTCACATGGTCGATTAATTGTTTTATCCGTATTGTGATATAATACAGCTGGATTAGGTTTATTATAATTTGGAATATAAACTTGTTTTAATTTATGTTCCTGAGCAGCTAATTTAGTTCGACGTTGTCTAACATAACGATCTGTAGTTTTCCAAAAATAATAAAGTTCAACTATTGATTTATGAGTTTTCCATGGTAAGCAATTAGAAAGTATATCTGTGAATACTTTCGAATATTTATCTAATGCTTCTTCAAATATATTTGTTTCATTTGCAGACCAATCTTCTAATTGATCACGATAAATAATAGGTTGACCACCTGAAATTAAATATTAATTAAAATTTTCTTTAATAATAATAAAGATTATAAAAGAAGTGGCGGCTTAACGAGATCTTGGTAACTTGACGACCTCATTTTATTCCATTAATAAAAAAGTCATGTCAAAATATACAAACTTCTAGGTTTGGGCTGGTGGAATAGATATCATTTGTAGTTGAACTTATTTTCTATCCTCCTCTAAATCTTAAATTCTCTGTCACCGAATTCTCTTCATTCTTCGATTAGTTTCGCTATTTATATGTATTACTTATATCTGATTTCGAATGTCAGTGATGCATAGTATGCTGTGGTAAGGTCTAACAACTTGGACCGATATACACCAGTCCTAGGTGTCACCTCAACTATAACTGCCTAACAACTTGCAAAAAAAGGATTTCATTTAACATACTAATTGTGTACATGTTACTGGGATATGATTACTCTTGAAGAGACAAAGGCACTAGAAGCATTATCCATCATTTAGTTCATATTCATCTTTTAACAAAGCTATTTAAATTTATCAGCTACCAGAAAGTAGTCAATATCAGTTTGATCTATAATTAGCGCCCGCCAAATTGTATCGGGTCAGTTAGCTATAGTCGATAATGCTGAAAGATACCCACAGGTAATAATAATAACAATGTAGCATGTCAAAACTAAGTTATGAGTCACACTTATACAACCTTTAAACATCTTAGGTAACTCTGCTATAAGGAATCTAGATTAAAAGTTTGAATCTATAGTCAAATAGTTGGAAGTTGAGTGTTAATGCTATTCAGCTAGAGAGCTTTATAATATCTACAATCTCAATCAAAGTTGTATCACTTAAAATAAAAACACTACTACTAACGACCTAATCAGATGACTGACTTGTAGAAATACATAAAACTACGCTCCATCAGTAATTAGAAAGTAAAAAGAAATATGTCAACTGAAAAATGCTAGATAATAAATATAAACGTCTAGTTTATCAAGGACAATGTAGTCATAGTGAAACTTGAGTACTTTGATAGTGATTGGGTGTATGTTAATTACAGTATGTACATTATTGCTAAGATATTAGTAATTCTTCAAATTGTTAGCAGCAGTGAATGCAAACTATCCTTAAACTTGGTCTCGAATTAAATACTTAGCATCAGTTTGAAAATTCACTGATGAAAGTATCCTAATCATACATTAAATAATAAACAGCTATATACACTTTCGTTTACATTAAATATCTATCATACGTACTTATTCCATTTTGAGAATCGTTCCTCGAATTGTCAAGCTTATAAATCTGTAATGTATTTTATTCATGTAATTCTTAATGAGCATTCATCCTTTTTTATTCAACAACAATATACATATATAAGCATAGAATTCCATTCTCCACAGGATGCTAGACACCTTAGCTCGATCGATTTTTCTTTGTCAGTATAGAATCTAAACACATATACATATGCACAGATATATATATATATATATATATATATATATATATATATATATAAAGAGAGAGAGAGAAAGAAAGAAAGAAAGAAAGAAAGAAAAGAAAAGAAAGAGAGAAGTCTTAATGAACTTTGCATCGGGTCACGAAAACAAGCCAAATTAGGAAGGAAAAAAACAAAAACTTTCGAGGTAGCTGTTGCAAGGCCCAAATAGAAGGTAATGAAATAATATTTATTACAAGAAACAAATAAAATTAAACTAACCAGGTAATAGAAGATTTATGGCTTTGTTCAAGTCGTAGTTGGCTTCATGAAGTATATCATGCGCATGTTGACGAGTTATATCACGTGCAGCTGAAGCTGTAGCACTCAGTAGAAGTGGTTGTCTAGTAGATGATGAAGTATCATGTGCACGACCGTATGTGCCAACGGCTTTGGCTAATAAACAAAACATATCGATCTCTTGAACTGTTAATGAATGGGAAGGAGACCAAACTAACTCCTCATGTACTTCAGTCAATCGTACATCTTCTGATTCTACAATCAACATAAAAATGAATTTGAATTTAGGATTTAATAAAAGAATTCTTAGTGATGAATACAATTTTCAAGCAATTTTCTAAGACATGGTTGTACATTGATTACAGAATAAAGTCAATCTGAAGGAAATAAATGTACTAGAGTGATGTATAAGTTCTTTTTCCGAGTTTATTATTTCAGGATATTTAGTTTTTTTTCTTTAGTGACTTTCTGGACTAAACACAACTAAGTTGACAGTTATATCAATTTCCAATGGCGTCTTACACAGAACCATTCAAATCAAACCTTTTCTCAACACTGCAAACGTCATTATTTGTTATTGTTATATAATTTCAAGATTATTTGCAAAATTGAAAAATTGAATTTTTGTTTCAAAGGTACGTGACAAAAGACGTGCACTGTAGGGTATCCCATAAGGTTCCATATAATAGCAACCTATATCGCTGAAAACAACAAAAATAATCAGGACTGAACGACTGAACTTGACTTCATTTCAATCAAATTTCAAGTAGTGTTAACATTTTAATACATTAAATGAGGAAAAAAACAGTAGATAAGAGATTGGTGAGTTAGTAGTCGAGAATTCTTATCACTTTAACATTTTTACCACTGAAATTGATATCATCAGAGATAGCGCGGTAGCTAGTAGGGAGAAATTTAGCTGTTAATAAATAGATTTGAGAAGTCAGCTGATACAGTATACTAGCAACAACGTAGGAGTCTGTAATTTGAATTAAACAACAATAAACATAGTCCTCGAATATCAGTCATTATTCACGGCAATCGGAGGAGGTAACAACGGGATATATATATATATATATATATATATATATATATATATATATATATATATATATATTCTCGATGTTTTAACTGATGCTTTTGTTGTTCGGTGATTACAGTATTAGAGCGTTTTAAGCCCTCTTTAGAGTTATTATCATTATTATTTGAATTGGCTATTTTATTTGTACATATATATATAACTTAAGCATCAAATTTTAATATTTGCAAACATAATAAGAATGTTACTCATCATTTTAAGAAGTGAAATAACAATAATGTGAAAGTTATGCTAGATTATGAAAACAACGAAACTATAAGCGAATGAAAAGCTACAATAAATAAACCAATCAATAAGCAACCAATATAGTTGGAAAGCAATTTACTTGATTTTAGTAAGCATTGTATCTCAGACTGATAATCTGATCCAATTCTCATTGAACCTCTATCTTCTTGAAGAGTCTTTAAATTAGGATCATATATAAGTTTATAATAAAATGCCTCATCTCTGGCTAGGTAATTTGTCAATGGTTCTGCATCATTGTGTAGTGTAACCGAGCATTTGCCTGGATAAAATATAAATAATAAGTTTATGAGGAGCATTAAACTAGACCTAATATGATCTATTAGTCAAAACACTGTCATATATATAAACATGAAGACCCCCAAACAATGTATTTCCTGGTGTTCAATTTAATAAATTAAAAGATGAAAGGACAGTGATAAAACAGATATATAAACTCTTCTTAATCATAGATAAACAAGAATATCCCGTTGAATTTCATCTTACTAAAAGTGTTTTCACATTTTACATTCTTACATAATATCAATAGACGACCAGATTAATTCGATGATAATAATAATAATATAGGAGTTTTGACTTGAGAAGTTAGAAATTTTACAGGAAAAATTGAGATTCGTCAAGACTGTTGATAAATTTTGATGAGCACAAAAGTTCATCTAAATATACAACATACAATAAATTGAGCTGAAGAACATGTTACAAGCTACTGAGTAATAAAGTATACCTAATACAAATGAATAGTAATACGAATTATATCCTATGTGTTAGAATATATTGGTGACTGTTTGAATTATCTAATATGTGGTAGTAATTCAATGGTAAGTTTCAAAACCCTAACACACTTGAACAAAGAATGAAACTGACAAGAAAGAAATTTTTATATTGAATAACAAACAAAAAAAGAAAACAATGGATATATTAAAAAATTCAAATATAATTAAAATAGTCCAATAATATGTTACCCCTAATATGCGTAGCTGGTAGACATTCAACTTGTCGCGAAAGAAACAATTCTCGATGTTTTAACTGATGCTTTTGTTGTTCGGTGATTACAGTATTAGAGCGTTTTAAGCCTTCTTTGGAGTTATTATCATTATTATTTGAATTGGCTATCTCATTTGTACATTCTTCATCATAATCATCATCACTGCCATCTATATTAGAAAATATAAGATGAAATGACAATACAAAGCTAAACTGTATACATGTACAAGCAGTGAACATAAAAAAAGATATTTTTCACATTACTGTCACTACTATTATTGACAGAAATAAACAGCCAAATGATTTCAAAACTGTAATTCAATCTACGCTCAATATCTCTAAACAATAAATCTGGAATGTCGGTACGTAGGGGAAACAACTTTTAAACTTGATACAACACTATTTGTGTGCCTTGAGGCAGTTTACCAATGCAGAAATGTTGGATATCTGTTTTATGGAATTGGGTTTTTATCACTCGTTTTCCCTTTTCAAGAAATATATCTGAAAATTTTACTCAACACTACAACTAATGTTTTCCTACTGTTTTATACGATAAAGACGAACCGTCTCTCAGTTACTCACAAATTATAGTTACGGTTTATGCATGGTACAAAATAATAGAATTACGTTAATTAAAGATTACCTCCCTGTAAATTTTTATCGGATATGTGCCCAAAGGAATGAGAACAAGATATATATGAGGCAGTAAACAAGACATATCAACAGACATACAATTATAGTATACACATGTATGGTCGTCACATACAGACAAGTAGTAAAATCGAACAGACAAACAAACAATAAGATGGACCAGTGTTAAGTAAATATACAGACATGACCTTAAGACTAAAAATTCAAGATGGTTGACTTGGGTAACCAACATGGCGTCACCCAGTTTACTGCATATGCGCGCAGCCATTGTGATTTATCAATTTTAATTTAAGAGAAGTCCAGTGGGTTCGAATGGAAAGAATATAACATCGTTTGGTGCTAGCAATAACCAATTAAGATAGTGTAGTTTAAAACTTTACAGTGCTTGAAATCAAAGTACTACTGTGAATAACGACTGTGTAAAATATTCAAAGAAACTTCTTCCATCTAAATATAAACTAAAAGCAATCTAACATATATCAGCAAACAGACAATCAACCGGTTAGTAAGAAATGCAGGTCAACCATATGCACAACAAAAGGGTACTTTGATTCAAATCTCAATAAGACTTTCATTCCATAAAGCGAATTGCACATAAATCACTTTGTCTGCAAAACAGTATAGATAAGTCTAATGCTTGATTTCTTTTGTTGTACAGAAGAAAACTGATCATTAGAATTCAATTAAACAGTCATACTAACAAGGAGAAATCTATATACATGTCCATTTTTGTATTTATTTTCACTTTATTTCTTTATCTCTACATTCAAAAGTCATTATTATATATAACAAAGATAGTAATCATTAATGGTCATTGACTTGTAAGAATACAGTATCAGAAGGATTGATTACTTGTGAATCGTACAGTAGGTATTTCCAAATAATAAAGAAGGTAAGAGCTTCAATCAAATTATTTTGCCAACACAATAAAGTACAAATATAACCATTAGCGTTTTACCACCATTTAGGCGTTTATACTACACTTGCAAGTGAGTAAGAATATGAAACGATTTTAAAATGTAAGTGTAAACCTTCTTTAAAGTAAAATATAACTGTATTTTCACATTGAATATTAACCATAACTATTTACTCTATTCTATGCTGACATATAGTCGTTGACGGTGTATAGTTTTTAGCATTAGATACTGAACACAAACAGTAAATTATCGGTTTTAAAAGAACATGAAAACAGAATAGCGTGTTATATAGAATAATCAATCCAATATATATATATATATAAATTCAATGAGAACCTACAATATTTTTCTGCCTGGTTAATCAAAGCACTGGATACATCACGTCTACGGTAGTAACAGGCAACTTTAGCTTCAACAGCACCAGTAGGAGTCTACAGATTTTAAAAAAAAGAAGTGACACTATCGTTTAATGACGTAGCTAAATTGTAAGGTAGTCCAATTAATTAGTTGTAAATTTTCGCGATTTTACACTTTAGAAAATGAGGAAACTCAAACTGTAATTTTAAAATACATATTGCGTCAGTAATAGAAAGATAAAACCTTGTAGTAAATGATATATATCTGTATAGTACCGGAGATTAAATATGTATAACAAGAAATTTACAATCAATAAAAAAATCAATAGACCTGAAAAATAACGAGTAACTTGACCATCAATAAAAGCAAGAAAAAAGCGATCAATAAGTAGGTTGCGGATGTAAAAGGTGGGACACTAGCAACAATAAGAATAAGGACATGAATGAAAAAAATAATTAGTTAGCTAATCGAAAATGTGTATATCAACACATAAATGCAGAATTTGTCTAACACGAAATATAACCGATTTTGATCACTAAGCCAGTAGCAAGAAACTACAATGGGTTCCAGTTTTGATGAAATATTTGAACAGAAAGTATTTCAGTATTAATGAGGCTTTTCAGGGTATTATGTATCATTTGTATTGTCATAATATAATCAAAAAATGTGTTCTAATAAAACCAGAGGTGTAAGTTATTCATCAGATACCAATGAGTCCCATTAATAAGTTAGTGACGGATACTACCTAAATGATCTGACGTTTCACTATATTCTGATTTTGAATACTTTTGATTTGTTGCGAACTTGAATATCACAAATAACGAATTATGCCAAAGTAATTTGCTATTTCAATAGATTTTCGACAGAAATACACTAGATACATTAAAAGTAAAAGGCAACAACAATTAAATGAACTAAAGAACTCTTCACATTCTAATGAAACGATGATGAATGTCTTAATTACATTATATTGTCATAATGTACAAAGAAATTACCTATGGAAATAATCTAAATAAGTCAGTCACATGCAACGTAGAATCTGACTCATACATGCATCGATTTAAGTACCTACCCATAATCAAAGTGAGATAAAATTATCATGACAAATCACAGAGTAGTGGAAGTAATAATGGTATCAGTAGTATTAGAAAATAATAGATGTGGAAAAGAATTGAAAAAGTATGAAGAGACTTTGGGACTCAGGTTCCAAGGGAAGACAGTGAATTTACCTGAGCAATGGCGAACTATTCTGAGTTATGTCACTCAAATTCTCTAACGGTTGGTCACGATAATCTCGTGGACCCCAATCAAGTAATCTACACCAACTAATGTGGCTTAGTCCAACTGTCAACGACTTCATGAACTGATGTTATGTTTTGGTTTGGCCGCCACTAGCTTATTTCCAGCCTACTCCAACACCAGATAACATCGCTCGTCGAGGTAGACGGTGGTTGAAGATACGTAACACACGTCCAGACTACATCAGTTGATGAAGACTCACTACCCCGTTAGAATCAATTCATTAAATGCATAACTACGGTCTTTACAGACAGATATGGATATGTTGTTTATTTAACAAGAAATTAGATGTATTACATACATATATATTATAATCACTGAACGGTGTCAGCTAAGAGGCAGTTACATATAAGTAGAGCAGGGTAATATACAAACTGGACATTAAAAATTCCATTGGTTGATAGATGTTACAAATGTAAATTACAGAAACTAGCGAAATTTCCAACGGTTTGCTACGAAGCGTCACTGCAAAAACAGATTTTTACTAATCTTTCAAAATTATGTTGTGGTTGAGCCAAGTATTGAACGTATGAACGCTAACAGCTCAGTTATTACCAGTCTTTTGTATCCTATATGTCATTACGCAATTAATCATATAGAATCTCCGTTGAGAAACACGACGATCGTTGGTCTGCAAAACGTATGATAACTAACAAACATATAGAGAATAAAGACTTTATCACAAATAACATATGTTCTAATCACTTCAGTTAATAAAGGTTTACTACCTGCCTTGTCGAACAATTAACGATTTTTACCAAGTATCCTACACCTAACCCCAACATTTGTCATTCAGTGGTCCCAAAATACATGAACTATGCTTCGAAGACACCCGTGACCGAAAACTAGTAGCCTACGAATATCCTCTATTCTTAATGGTAATGTTTTATAGTATAACTCAAAAACACAGTTAATTGACAGATACATTGTGCTTACTTTATTAAGTTCATCTATTCGACGGATTTGATATGGAGCAGTGGCTGATGATTCAAAATAAACGAAATCTACAACAAAAAAGTAATTATCAATGATCAGAGAAAGAAAATATATTAATTATAATTCCATAGTTAATTTTATTTATTATCCAAGCTTTCTTGAGTAATCTGATACAACGAATAATTAACATGTTGATGCCATCCATTACATGTTAATCGAGTATTGTATGAGTGCTGGTAGTAACAATATCTAGCTATCCAGAAAATTAGGTAACCACAAAAAAAAACAAGTGCTCAAACTTACGATACTACAAGTTTTGAATGGCTATTTACTGAAGTTAACTCTCACATACATTATCAGTTCATTTTAATAGTCATTAACAAATTCAGATTGTTAAGAGTTTGTAAAAAGAAATAATAGAGTAGGCTAAGATTATAATTTTGACTACATTTTAATGATTCCACACTAGACCAAATCTTCTCCAACCAAAGTATGATGGTTTCTTTTTCAAACTCTTAGGCAGACATAACTGATTTTGCAAGTAAAATTTTATAGTGGAACACATTCAATGAATGAAGGCTGATGATATTCATTCGGGTGTTCAAATCGAAATATGTGAAATAAGATGGCCTAATTTCTGAGAGCCAAGTGTCTACGTTATATAAGTTATAGCTCAAATAGTCCAAATTTACTATTAAATGAAAAACATAGAATACCAGTTTTCTGCATAGAAATGCTTAGACAGAATACTACGAAACGGAATTACTCAACCACTATCACAACGTATGATAATCTCTTTGCGTAGGTATTGTTAAAGTGGAACACACTCATGAACAAAACAGACTGAAGTAAGAGTTAAGGCCTAGTTGTAACATATCAAATTGGTGGCTCGTTTATCGATAATGACATACGGAAAATAACCACATCAAACATTAACGACTAAACGTAAGAAACGCGCTGCCAGTGTTTAAAACAACCCCAGTAACATACTCCATAATACATAATTTTTACTGATGCTAAGTCATATAAGATATTGCTAAAATACAGTTGAAAGCTTTGGAACATTCTTTAAATCTATCTCGATTAGCGAAACATAAGATAGAGTCCGGAAACATGTAATGCTGCAAACTAATAATCAAAAAATAGCGTGACTTTTATAGATTGATTGTTATTCTGAGAAAAAGTGGAAATAAACAACCCCTCTTCCTTTTTTCGATAACACAAATTCACATCCGACTACATGGTGTAGATATTATACAGAAAAACTTTTGGTCTTCTCTGAATATAAACGTTTTAAAATAGGAGTAGGAATCTGATGCCAAAATATACGAAATCTACTCAATATAAGCTACCAATGGATTCTTGTATACTTAACAAACTGAACATTAGATTTTATATTGATTTAAGTGCATGACCATATTGACAATTATATATAAATATGATAGCAGGTAGAATCAATACATATGTGAAAGTTCTACGAACAAATTGATTTTTTCCAATAAAAAGATGGAGGAATTTATTTGCAAGGTCGAGTGTCGAAATTAATTGATTAGTTAGCTCGCTTTTGTATCAGTCAAGAATGAAAATGATATGACAATTTGTGAATATATGTAACGATATAAATAGAAAACCAAGTTGCAATATCTCTGAAGGTGATTGACTAAAAGATAAGAACAGGCTATGATATGAAATTACTTCCTTGTAAATGTAGAAAAATATGCGTAATAAGATGATAAGAAAACAATAACGCCTGAAATTTAGAAAGTCCTTTCAGTCCGTGTTAGTGCTGCTTGTTGCTATTACTGGTGATAGTCAGTCAGTCAGCTACAACGTAGGACCAGGCACATATATGCATCGGTCCAAGTTGCCACACCTCATTAGCACAGCAAGATGAACACCAGATTCATAGTAGTCACTTCAATGGTTGTAATATATAAAAGAAAGATTGTGTATAAGGATATAGTACAGTAAGAAAGAATTATTTCGCAGAAATAAACGTATAAAGCAATTTCAATCTCATGGTTTAAGGGAACATAGAGAGTGTATACACCGACGCCATTGTGATCGATTCTGAGCCATGTTATTGATGATAAAATCGTTGGAGACATATACATCCATTCGTATCAAAAATATTTATTCTAATGACAATCAAAATTATACCCAGGTTTTAAATCAACATTTATCAAGTACGACAATTACGCATAGTTTTTACTATGGTTGATCCTACTAGTACTATGATTTTATTTATGTCATTTGTTATTTCTAACTAGTTGTGCAGACGTAGTATGACAATGCGGTTTAACACAAATCTATGCCAGGCTATTTGTTTGTTACGACTGGTCTTCATATATTTTGAAATCAGTAAGTGATTTTTAATGCTAGATTGTTGGATGCAACATTAATAAAGCCATAAATCCCGATTGTCTTGCTTATTGGCATTCACAATCAATAAGTGATTACAACGGCATGAGAATATATATTGTTCGACTGATTATTCGGAGATGCCAATATACAAGTATACAAATGTGGGATAATCGACCTTAATCTTATTACACAATTATGGATGTAAAATAGAAACCCAACGTAAAATACTGTTATAATCATCTTGAAAATAAGTCAACTAGTCTAGGGTAACAGGATATCATCAGAAAATAATGGGCATCTAGCTCGTCGTTTGGCTAGATTTTCAATGTCATAATGAAGTAAAGACACGTATCCCATAATTTAATAAAATGTAATTTCACAATGGCTCGTATTTAGAGACCTTTAAATACACAACCTTAAGTGTGAGCATAAGTAACAGAATACAGATACTTGTAATATGTTTTCTATAGATTCAGTGACAAGAAAATTTGTGTATTCCCAATTTCTTAGAGAATTAATATCTTATTTGAAAACATTCCATATGATTAAGAGTACAGAGAACAGTAATGTAAAAGAAATGACACCAATTACGGTCTTCAGAGCTTAATTCAGAGCATTGGAACACTTAGAATTCATTCTTATCCATAGGACAATAAGATAATGCCCTCAAATGCCCTAGTACGGTCGAAGGTGGAGAGAGTCTGCTCTCCTCAAAATGCTCGTACATGGCTACGCGTATATAGACACTACCAGAGAAATACAAATATGTTACGTAGAAATTCAAATTAAACTTAACAGAGTATTTTTGCTGACTTCACTACACTACTGCTGCCTTCTCGCGGTTGGAGTGTTGTTTACGGAATCGAGAGGATGAAAAGCGAATGTTCGGCACCTTAACCGGGTTGGTGGGTACCGAAGATCCATCTAGAGGAGTTGGAAAATCCCGATTTCAAACTAATGGTGCACATTGGCCCCAGGATCCTGAAGGAACAAATGTATGGACCTATCGGCTACCATATGACTAAATCTCATAACGCTGCTCTATTGTTTTGTGGATTAGACGTCTAGACTAAAGGCTCGGGGAGTGGCTCCCGAAGAAAACCACCTGCTTCGGTTTGGGTACCCCAGAAATATCCTAGCTCACATGCAAATCAACTAATTACTACTGGAGAAACTACTCTTGCTTCAACGCCCATACAGACAAATCATATTCACAATCATTTGATAACATTCATTTTTATATCTTTCATGCTACGTCACTTATATATTTCCCTTTATTCTCATTCTGTGTATTTTGTTTTTCAACTTATACAGCAGCTTGTCTATAGTCGAGACCGTGTTTCATCTAAACGATCTCAAGTCACTGACTGGTCGAGAGTTGAATTCCACCACCGAATACGAATAATGAAAGTCTTTCTGAAACCACATATCCATTCAAACTGGACTCCTTCAACGTTTGCACACTAATGCAGATCCAACAACAGATAGGGTTGGTTATGTCTTTAAAAAGTCTCAACATAGATGTCTGTTGTCTATCCGAGACCTGTATTCAAGGCTACAGTGAAGTATTACATGTTCTCTCCATCTTTCGCTTCGGAAAGCTTGTTTCGCGTGAGTCTATCCGGGAACCCTAAGGCATCTTCGTCTGGTTTTGCTAGAGTTGGTGTCACACTAAGAGCTAGAGCTAAGGCAGTACTGTTCAATTGGATCCCCATTAACAGTCGGTTATGTGCTGTTAGATTAGGAAACTCCATAATAGTGCTAAGGAATCGGTGTTTCTGGATAGCACTAACTGCTGGCAGTCATCGCCGATGTGCTACCTGGCGTCCTCCTTCTGCATCTCAAACTTGGGCTCAGATTGATCACATCGCGATCAGCCACTGCTGGTGTGGTTGTGTACGAGACTGCCACTCCTAGCTAGCTACCAGCCGAGTATAGATGTACATTGGCTGCAGTTGCATGACGCCATGAAAACAGCGAGTAGAGTCGCTTGCAGGTTCGCGAAACGTCCCCCTTATAAGGCACTGTTTTTTTAGGCTCCTTTCAACCTATTGAAGCCCATTGGACTACTATGGGTGACCGTGCGTTAGACCACAAACGACGACTGTTACGTAATAAAACTGGGTAAAGCCTGCGTAAGGACCAAGCGGCTTGGTGGTCGGAGCGTGCTAACGAGTTGGAAGCAGCAGCTGCATTCAGTAACTGCCGAAAGCTCTTTTAAATCGTCCGAGTGATTGGCAGCGACAAGTCTGAAGTGAGTAAAACAATCTATGCAGATGACCGGGTGCCAATCAATAACATCAACCGACGTCTAGGGCAGTGTGCAGCTCTCCGAGGAACAGTTCGACTGGCCTGCTGCCCCGGCAATATCGATTAGACTGTCCCATCCTCTATGGCCCGTGGCGACTGATCTATCCGAGGCAGAAGTCCGCAAGGGAATCCAACTCTTGAAGCGTCACAAATCACCAGGCCCAGATGACTTACCTCTGACCCTTTTTAAAGATGGAGACTTTCTGAGTAAGGAACTGACTGAGTTACTTGCAAAGGTTTGTCAATTGGAGAATGTTCCGACATCGTGGAATGAGTCTATAAATTCCCCTATCTTCAAAACGGTTCACTTCGATTCCGCAACAACTATCGAGGGGTAAGTCTACTTCCGATCGCGTCCAAACTATCGGCTTCTATCATACTCCGTAGATTGTTC